AAAAAAAAAAAGACATGTATTTCCAAAGTGCATAATCTGAATTGCAACAAAAGAAACAGGAAAGGACTGTAAGTCTTGGGTAAAGACTTGTCTAGTACCTTTAGGCTTCTTCAGTCAGCTGCTCTTAAATTGTTCACTGGTCCTGGCACTGTGTGTTGGGAAAACATGGGAAGACCTTCTCTTTTCTTCCGGAACTTATAGGAACCAATAACTAAATGGTATTTCATGAGTCCAAAATAGCAGTTGGTTCATGAAATATCCTTGAATTGTGTGCATTTAGTTGGGCGAGTGGGTCAGGACTCTGTCATAAGACAGGCGGAAGGAAAAAAATACAGTCACAGTATTTTCTTTAGCAACAAGATGTGGCAATCAGGGGACAATGAAGTATACCAAATGGGTGATGTTGGTCAAAAGACAACATGGCACAGAATATTAGTATTCTGACCAGGCCTCAGAGATATGGCATATCATTATGTTTAAAAAGGGTCTCGAATTTATGTGGAAGGAAAGTAGACTATGGAGACTATGTGGATAAAAATAATGTGAGGCAATAAGCAACAACTCTAGCTGGGCGTGGTGGCTGATAATACTGTATTTCTGAGTGATCAGGCAAAAGAGGAGAATGGATGATTCATCTTTGGCCATTGTTTGGTATAGTCTTATTTCCAAATCATATATAGTCTTTGCAGCTTCTAAAGAAAAGAATTAAAATGTTCTTTTATATAAAATGAAAAACAACAACAAAGTTGTTCCTGTGGAGATTGCTCTGGGCCACAGCATCTGTCAACACCAGTGTGGACGTTCCTATGAAGTCCCTACATGTAAGGTCCTGAGCTATCCACTTGGAAAAGATAGAGACTCCCTCTCCTGCTTCCAACCTGTTTTGTAACCACACCTGTAACCAACATACCTAGCCATACTTAGGACCCTAAACTGATGGCCCCAGATCTTGAGGTTTGGCAGGCTGTATGTACTTTGGGCTGAAGTCTCATGCAAGACCCTATTTGAGGGATCTTACCAGTGCTTAGAGTCAAGGTTCCACGCATCCCCACACTGGCCTGTCAAG